CGTCGTACCGATTTTGACCCCAACAAAGAATCTGCAAACGTTGAAGTTTATGCAGTTAACGATGTGACGATGAGAATCAGAGTCCCAAATCCTAAAGCTATAGAGAAAATTATAAGAAGAGGTATGTGGAATATCTTAGGAGTCCCAATGATTGTATCAAAATGGACTCCAAAGATAGAGAAGGAGAAGCAGGAAGATGAAGCTATTCCAATGTGAGTTCATTTGCGAGAAGTTCCTCTGCATATGTTCTCATGGGAAGCTCTTAGTTTCATGACAAGTACAGTGGGATACCCAGTGAAACTTCACCAAGAAACAGCATCATGTACAAATCTTGAAGTGGCGAAGGTATTTGTAAATGTTGATGTGTCAAAGGTGCTTCCGAAGGAAATTACGTTTTCGAAAGGAGGGGTTGATTTCACTGTTAAGTTTCACTACCCATGGCTTCCTTCTAGATGTGATCATTGTGAAAAATGGGGCCATACGGAGATAGTGTGTGGAGCAAAAAGGAAGGGTAAAAATCATACACCGAGAAAAGAGAAAGAGATAAATGTGAAGGCTGATGAAAAGATTGATTTACCTGAGGGAAGCTCTGCTCAGTTGATTGACAAAAGTACTGCTTCTGATCCTGGAGAAAGTACAGTCAATAAGGTCACAGAGAAAGATGTTTCTCAAATTGTGGAAAGTGAAGGTATAGTGAATGATTGGTCAAGTGTTGCTCAAACGAATATAGCGAGATCACAATCTTCCTCTCCTCAACGATCTGATGAGATTGTGATTTCAGCATCAAAGTATTCTGTTCTTAATGTTGAAGAAGTGGAAGAAGTGGAGGAAAGTGTATTGCAGGACACCGAGAATCAGCTAGAGGAGAATGCAAATCAAGATAAAGAAGATTTGTTGGAGGAGAGTGATGCTAATGATTTACTTGAGGATAGTATACTGGAGCAAAAAGAGAAGGTAAAAGAAAAGGTAGTAACGAAAAAAGGGATGAAGAAAGGTCAGAAGCCCCAAGCTCAGGATGTAAATCCAAAGAGTAAAAGGTCTTCTCGCCGTAAGCTATAATATGTCAAGTTTCTTCTGGAATGTGCGCGGATTCAACAAGTTTTTGAAGCATTCTATGGTAAGAGATTGGGTAAATAGTAATGATATGAAGTTTGGATGTGTTATTGAGACAAGGGTTAAAGAGATAAAGTCTGTAAATATTTTGAATTCTGTGTTCAGAGGTTGGTCTTCTATGAAGAATTATGAACAGAGTAGTGGAGGCAGAATTTGGTTGGTATGGAGAGAGACGGTTAGAATGACACCAGTGTATAAAACAGATCAACTTATCACCTGTTCAGTTGGTCTGAAGGATGAGGATGAATTTTTCTGCACGTTTGTTTATGCTAGTAATACGGTAGAAGAAAGAGGGATGCTTTGGGAGGATTTATGTCACCATAAAAATTCAATGCTGTTTAAGAATAGAGCTTGGATGGTTATGGGAGATTTCAATGAAGTTCTTGAAGCTGATGAAAGTACAGAATTTGAGAATGCTGGTAGGATCTCGCGGGGTATGAGAGATTTTCAGAGAGCAGTGTTGCATTGTAATCTGGCAGATATGGGTTATCAGGGTCCGATGTTCACATGGTGCAACAAAAGGGAAGAGGGTCTCATTTGTAAGAAGCTGGATAGAGTGCTCATTAATGATGTGGCAGTGAACAGATTTTCGAGTGCTTTCTCTGTATTTGAGGCAGGGGGTGTTCTGACCATCTAAGATGTAAAATTCAAGTGAAGCCACCTAGTGAGAAGTTGAGGAAGCCATTCAAGTACGTAAATATATTAGGAAGATTGCCAAGATTCTTGCCAATGCTCCAGGATTATTGGGACTCTACTCCTAGATTATTTCCCTCTACTTCGGCCATGTTTCGGTTTTCAAAGAAGTTAAAGAATTTGAAGCCTCTTCTTAGGGAGCTTGGAAGAGATAAGATTGGAAACTTAACAAAGAAGACTGTGGAGGCGTATGAAATTTTATGTGACAAGCAGCAATGTACTCTTTTGAACCCTTCCGATGAAGCTGTTAAAGAGGAAGCAGAAGCTTATGAGAAATGGTTGTATGTTGCTGGATTGGAAGAGGAGTTTTTGAAACAAAGATCAAAGCTTCATTGGTTGGAGGTGGGTGATCAAAACAACAAAACTTTCCACAATGCCGTCAAAACTCGTCAAGCACAAAATGCGATTTGTGAAATTAGAACTTAGTTGGGGATCGTTGTTACTGATCAGAAGGATATCAAACAAGAAGCTGAGCGTTTCTTTTCGGAATTCTTAAATGAGACTCCTGTGAGTTATACTGGTACAACTAAAGAAGAACTTCAGAGTTTACTTCATTATAGATGTTCTGAAGAGGAGTGTACAATGTTGGAGGCTCAAGTTTCTGGAGAAGAGATTAGAAAGGTACTATTTGCTATGCCTTCTAATAAGTCTCCAGGTCCGGATGGATTCCCTTGCGAGTTCTTTAAGACAGCCTGGCCTGTTCTGGCTCATGACTTCATTGCTGCGGTTCAATCGGTTTTCCAATTTGGATTCCTCCCTAAAGGTATAGACTCCATGGTGATGAGAGACTATCGACCGATTTCCTGTTGTAATGTGCTATATAAGGTGGTTTCAAAAATTTTGGCGAATAGATTGAAGATCATCTTGCCTCGTCTAGTCTCTGAGAATCAGTCTGCATTCGTGAAAGGTAGATTGTTATTGGAGAATGTGCTTTTAGCTTCGGAGATGGTTAAAGACTATCATAAGGAGGCTATTTCAGCAAGGTGTTTGATGAAGATAGACATCTCAAAGGCCTTTGACTCAGTGCAATGGAGCTTTGTTTTGCACAGTCTTGCAGCGGTAGGAGTTCCGGAAAAATTTATACACTGGATTAAACTCTGCATCACAACTCCCTCTTTTTCTGTTCAGGTTAATGGAGAATTGGCAGGGTATTTCCAGAGTTCTCGTGGGCTAAGGCAAGGATGTTCTCTGTCCCCTTACCTTTTCGTGCTGTGTATGAATATCCTTTCTCATAAAATAGACAAAGCAGTGCTTCAAGGAAAGTTTCGATTTCATCCGAAGTGTAAAACTCTATCTCTCACTCATATTTGTTTTGCGGATGATCTTATGGTGTTTGTGGAGGGGAATAGGGATTCGGTTGCTGGAGCTTTGGCTGTGTTCGATGAGTTTGCTGTTTGGTCTGGGCTTAGTATAAGTCTAGAAAAATCAACAATTTATATGGTTGGTGTAACTGAGGAAGAGAAAGGAAAAATTTTAGAAAATTTCCCGCTTGTAGAAGGTAATCTACCAGTTATATATTTGGGACTCCCCCTGATGACCCAAGCAATGAGAAGAGGGGACTATCTTCCTCTAGTTGAGAGAATAAGGAGCATGATTACTACCTGGAAAAGTCGATTTCTTTCTTTTGCAGGAAGACTTCAACTTATCAAGTCGGTTTTGATGAGCATTGTTAATTTTTGGGCGATGGCTTTTAGGCTTCCTAGTAAATGTATGAAAGAAGTTGAACAACTTTGCTCTTCGTTTCTGTGGTCTGGTCCAGAATTGAAAGCTATTGGTGCTAAGGTTGCTTGGAAGGATATTTGTAAACCAACTTGTGAAGGTGGTCTGGGGATTCGTTCTCTTAAAGAGGTTAACACTGTTTATGGGCTAAAGATCATTTGGAGGATGCTGACAGGAGAATCGTTATGGGGGAGATGGGTTACAAGTTACCTTCTTAAGGGTAAGAATTTCTGGCAAGTAAAAGATAACTCCCAAGTTGGGTCATGGATGTGGAGAAAAATGTTTAAGCTTAGAGAGATTGCAAAGAGTTTTTATAAGAAAGAAGTGGGGAATGGAAGACATATCTCGTTCTGGTTCGATAACTCGTCTGAGAAAGGGATTTTGTTTGAAGTTTTGGGTGAAAGAGGTATTATCGATTTGGGAATTAGTAGGGAAGCTACGCTAGAAGAAGCTGTTCTCAGACTAGAAGGAGACGACATCGTGCTGTTGAGCTTATTGCTATTGAGGCTGAAGTTGAGAAAGTAAGAAATAAAATGAGTAATGTGGGAGAGGATATTTCTTTATGGAGAAGGGACTCATGTTATAAAGATAAATTCTCAACTACGGACACTTGGAATTTAATCAGAGAAAGGAAGCTTTGTAGCAGCTGGGCTAAGGGCATATGGTTTTCGCAAGGAACCCCCAAATTTACCTTTATAGCTTGGCTGAGTATGCTTGACAGATTTTCTATGATGGATAGAATTTCAAAATGGAGCAGTGGTACTGATACAACTTGTGTTCTATGTAAGAATGCCGAAGAAACGCGTAACCATTTATTCTTTGAGTGCTCCTACTCTTCTCAGCTTTGGAAGCATCTTGTGAAAGGTATACTCGTTACTTCTCACACTAATGTCTGGTCTGAGGTTATTACCCTTTTGGTGGATGGGAGTAGAGATAGGAAGAGTCTATATTGTATCAGATATGCTTTTCAGGCGAGTATCTATGCAATTTGGAGAGTAAGAAATAAGATCAGACATGGGGATAAGATGTTGCCAATTCAGAGTTTAAAGAGGTTGGTGGATAAAGGGATTCGAAACAAGCTGAGTGTTTTGGGGATCAAAGGAGTAAGAGGATATGACAACATTCTCCAATTATGGTTTTCTACCAGATTGTAAATAGTTTTGAAATATGCTGTCTTTGAACTGTTCTTTAGCTTGCGGGAGAAGTAGTTTTGAGTAAGGTTTGCTCTTGATGTAAAAAGGTCTTTTTTTTATGAATAAAATTTAACACTCTTTCCAAAAAAAAAAAAAAAAAAAATCAAACCTTATGCAGAAGAAACAAAAACCCGCAACACGTTTCTGTTTTCGGTTGTAGAATAAGAAACAGAAAGACCATCTAAAATTGACCCAAAAAAAGAAAAAAAAGGAAGCAGCCTTTTATAGTTAACATTCAGGCTATAATCTGTGGATCGAAAACAGAAAGATGTTGCAACTCACATTTCTCCTTCAAGGAAAGGATCAGCGTTAGGGTTTGGGTTTGGGTTGTACACATATATCTCAAATTCAGCTAGTTTTGGGACCTGTAATCAAATTGGTATGATTTAGATCTTACCAATTCTCATTCCCAGCTTCTAATGTTCTTTACTATAACAGTGAGCTTACCTCGTCAAGAGACACGTAGATTGCCTCAAGTAGAGAACAATCATCATTCCTCTCAGTCCATTCCTACAAAGCAGAAACATTAAGCATTGTTGAACAAACGAAAACTCTATTTTACTTACATGGTAAAAAAAACAAAATAGATTGGAAGAAGGTTAGTATCACAGAGCTTACAAACTTACCATCTAACACCTTAAGAGCAAAGAGATTTACAACAGATAGATCAGAGAGCTTACTAAACAAAGAAACTCACTTGAACCACAGCAAATACGCTCACAGCAAATCCTTGGAACCAAGGCAGCCTGCAAAACAATGGAAAAATAGAAAATAATGAGGAAATCAGATACCTACCTTCTCTTAGACTCTCAGTGAAGAAAACGAAGAGACCCACAATATTATATGGAAGGAGGCGAGCAGGGAGGAGGAAGCAGCAGAAGCAGTATCAGGATCACATTCAAATCCAGATGCACATGGAGAGCTTGCAGAGAGAGAGGCAATGGACCAGTCTGTCGCCTGCTGGCTGTTCTTGTCCACTTTCCCTGTACTTATCTGAGAGAGAGAGAGAGAGAGAGAGAGAGGTACTAAAGCCTGTAAACTTAAGAACACTTGCAATGGACCAGTAAATTTAAAAATAAAAAGTCTCCAAAGAAAGTCCCAGAATCAGATTCATAAGTAAAACCATACAATTATTTTTTCAGTTAATGAGTAGAAACATATTCTGCACATCAGATCCCATGAATTTTAAAATTATTATCCACTCTACATTTTGCGACTGCTACTTATTAGTGTGTGGGCAAATGAAAAATTGTGCATCAGTTCATACTTTAGAGAACTCTCCTATCTGGTTAAAGGACCATGTTCTCAGCTACCCTACGGTAGAGGTATGATACGTATGAAGCTACAAGCCCTCCGATTCTATACCAATACGCGAGGCGCAAGGTCCAGCCCAAGACTTGAGAAGGCCCAAGATATTGGGAGTTTACATGGAGAGGAAGGAGATAAGATATTTGGAGTATTAAGGAATAAAGGAATATTGACAAAAAAAAAGGAATAAAGGAATAAAAGTTGTTAGGGAACACATCACGTGGGTTGTCTGCTGACGCGTGAGGATCAGGTGGCATGAGGAAGGTGTGAGGAAAGTGGCTCTTGTGAGAGGAATACTTAGTATATATATCAAGTAGTATGTTAAGAGAGAGGTATCAATTGTTTGATCATCATGTTCATGGAGAGATAGTTTCTCTCATGTATTTGTCGTGTACTTGATCATTCAATAAAATCATCCTTTCATAACTAATATTCCAATCTTTATACTTTACCGATCATCACTCTTAACAGTTGGTATCAGAGCATTACCTTGATCCTGAGACTGATATGGGACCAAAACGAGCCGATAACGAACCCACCACGGGGAAATTCAACAAACCAACAATCGGATCGCTTCCTTGGAACAAGGGATAGAAAGGATGGCGATCATCGAGAAGGCTATAATCGCAATGCAGCAACAGATGCAGTCCCAAACCAGTAAGCTGGGGATACTGGATCGTGTTGAGCAGAGGTACAACGAGGAGGAAGAGATGCGGAGGAAGGCAATGGAAGCCATGAAAGAAAAAAGGATTGTGGAGGAAGGTATGTCGTCTGGAGGTGCAGTGGTGAGTGACTCTATGGGTTCAGAAGGAGCAGAGATACCCATCGGAGTCACACACACCAACATTTCTCCGGCGAGCGGTGGTTATGACAGAAGGTCCAGCATGTGGTATCAGTATAACCGACCAAAAGGGATTTGGGGTGATCGTTATCAACCCCTTGTCAGACGAATGGAGGTTCCACTTTTCAATGGCGAAGAGGCTGAAAGTTGGGTTTTGAGAGTGGGACAATATTTTGAGATGGGTGACCTGACGGAGGAAGAAAAGCTTCGAGCAGTAAGGATGTGTTTCACTGGAGAGGCCCTTATGTGGTACCGTTTGGAGAGGGAACATAATCCTTTCCGGAGCTGGTCGCAGATGAAACACCGCATCTTTGTGCAATACTCAGAGTATCATGACACCACGCCAGGAGAGAGGATGCTTTCGTTGTATCAGACTGGTTCGGCCCATGACTATGTCAAAGATTTCGTAGCACTAGCCTCTAACGCACCAGAGATTCCAGAGGCGGTTCTACAGAATTCTTTCATGAAGGAACTTGACCCTAAAATCCGAGCTGGAGTTAGGATGTTAGAACCACGACACCTCGAGAAGATGATGAGTACGGTCAAAATGGTGCAAAATTGGTCTGATCAGGAGGAAACGACACCGGAGGCGCACTCCCACCGTCAACAAGTAGATCGGGCTGAGAAGCAGCGTAATGGGCCACATTCCGTTAACCCAGGTTAGAAGAAGAGTACTGGACCTAACAACAACAATGACAAACCTCGGCCCAGCAATACGAATGCTGACACAAATAATCCCAATAACGGAGGAGGACACGCCGTCACACCTCACAATAGGGTTAAACCTCCATTTCGGAAGTTAACACATCGGCGGAGATCGCACAGAGAAAAGCGGCGGGGTTGTGCTTTAAGTGTGACGAGAAGTTCCACACGAATCATGTCTGTCCTAAGCCAGAGCTGTTAGTGATTATGGTGATAGAAGACGGAACGGAAGTCGAGTGGACAGAGGAGCCGTGTGAGATGATGGAGGAGGCAACAAAGTTAGCCGCAGTGGAAGTGGCTAAGCTCTCAATAAACTCGATGGTGTGTCTAACATAACCGAGGACTATGAAGTTAAGAGGATCGATCTTGGACACGGAGGTAGTGGTCTTAGTCGATAGCGGTGCGACTCACAATTTCATTTCTGAGAAATTGGTGAAAGCAGTTGGTTTTGAGACGGATACTTCCGCAAGTTACGAACTGCTAGTGGCAGGAGGAAGAACTGTAAATGGGAAGGGTATCATTCGAAATGTGAAGTTGGAACTTGCGGGTTGTACCAACACCACGAGTTTCTTACCCTTGGAGCTAGGAGTTGCAGACGTCATATTGGGAATGCAGTGGTTGGACACTTAAGGAGAAATGAGGGTTAACTGGAAATTGCAGTGGATGAAAGTGGAAATTGAGGGCAGATGAGTGACGTTGCTGGGAGATCACAGCTTACATTCAGATGCAGTATCGCTCAAAGCCATTTGGAAAGCATTGGAGTTTGAGGGAGAGGGAGTGATCGTGGAGAATAGTGGCCTGACTGCGGCGGAAGTGGGATTACCGGTTTCAGTTCCAGAAGAAGTACTAGGTATTTTGGGCAATTACACGCAAGTGTTTGCAGAACCTGAAGGCTTACCTCCTTCAAGAGGAAAGGAGCACGTGATCACCTCAGAACCGGGTGCCAAACCTGTCAGTGTAAGGCCTTTCAGGTATCCACAAGCACAAAAGGCGCAGATTGAGAAACAGATTGTTGTGATGCTTGCGGCTTGCCTTATCAGGTAAAGTGCAAGTCCGTTCTCCAGTCTCGTATTGTTAGTCAAGAAGAAAGATGGGAGCTGGAGGTTCTGTGTCGATTATCGAGCCCTGAATAAAGTCACCGTAGCCGACAAGTATCCAATCCCGATAATTGATCAACTTCTGGACAAACTCCACGGTGCTAGAGTGTTCTCTAAGTTGGATTTATGCTCAGTGTACCATCAGATTCTGGTGAAATCAAAGGATATTCCCAAGACAGCATTTCACACCCACGACGGCCATTATGAGTTCTTGGTGATGCCGTTTGGCCTGTCAAATGCGCCTATTACTTTTCAATCATTGATGAACGAGGTATTCCGACCACATGTGCGCAAGTTTGTTCTCGTTTTTTTCGATGACATCCTTGTCTACAGTCGGAACTTGAGAGAGCACGGTAGACACTTGGAGGTGATGTTACGGTTGCTGGAAGAACATAATCTGTACGCTAATAAGAAAAAGTGTCAATTTGGGAGTGACAGTTCCAAGTCTGGAAGACATTTCCATGGACTTCGTGGAAGGGTTGCCTCGCTCTGAGGAGATCAACGCCGTGCTGGTGGTGGTAGACAGGTTATCCAAATACATCCACTTCATTGGGCTCAAACACCCTTTTACAGCCACGGATGTAGCAATGCTGTTCACTCAAGAGGTCATAAAGCTGCATGGGTTCCCTCGTACAATAGTCTCTTACGGAGATAAGGTATTCACTAGCCTTTTCTGGAAGGAGCTATTCCGTTTGTCTGGAACAAAGCTTTTCTTGAGCACATCTTATCACCCACAATCAGACAGGAAAACTAAAGTGACGAACAGAGGAATGGAGACGTACTTACGTTGTTTTGCGGGAGACAAGCCTAAGAATTGGGGAAAATACTTGGCTTGGGCGGAACTGAGCTACAACTCGTCTTATCATTCCGCTATTCAGATGACTCCCTTCAAGGCTGTTTATGGGAGAGATCCACCTGCCATGCTTCGATATGAGAATGGATCTACGGTCAATGCAGAGTTGGAGGATCAGCTAAAAGAGAGGGATGAGATGTTAGCTATATTGCGTGCACATATTAACAAGGCACAACAAATTATGAAGCTGAGGGCTGATGGTCATCGTCGTGAGGTAACATTTGAAGTTGGAGATATGGTTTATTTAAAACTGAGGCCATACCGTCAACAATCCCTGGCTAAACGACCTAATGAGAAACCGGCTGCACAATTTTATGGTCCTTATGAGGTTGAAGCAAAGATTGGGAAGGTTGCTTATCATCTGAAACTACCGAAAGGAACAAGGATCCATAACACTTTCCATGTGTCCCAGTTAAAGAAAGCTATTGGAGATTCAGGACCAGCGAAACTACTGCCAGCTCAACTGACTTCCGAGGGGGTGTTGGTAGCTGAACCTGAGGCTGTGTGGAATATGAGGATGGGGCCGATAACAGGGAGAAAGAGTTGTTGATCAAATGGAAACATTTTCCAAGTTTTGACTGCACTTGGGAGAGTAAGGCAACAATGGAGAAACTGTACCCAGAGTTAGACCTTGAGGACAAGGTCAGTTTTGTTGGCCCGGGTAATGATACGTATGAAACTACACGCCCTCCGATTCTCTACCAATACGTGAGGCGCAAGGTCCAGCCCAAAACTTGAGAAGACCCAAGATATTGAGAGTTTACGTGGCGAGGAAGGAGATAAGATATTTGGAGTAGTAAGGAATAAAGGAATAAAAGTTGTTAGGGAACACATCACGTGGGTTGTCTGCTGACGCGTGAGGATCAGGTGACGTGAGTAAGGTGTGAGGAAAGTGGCTCTTGTGAAAGGAGTACTTAGTATATATATCGAGTAGTATGTTAAGATAGAGGTGTCAATTGTTTGATCATCATGTTCATGGAGAGATAGTTTCTCTCATGTATTTGTCATGTACTTGATCATTCAATAAAATCATCCTTTCATAACTAATATTCCAGTATTTACACTTTACCGATCATCACTCTTAACAAGGTATCGGATCAACAGTTGGAATTGTTGTGATAACCAGAATGCCATCATCCTTGACGTATATGGGAACAAAAAACACATAAGCTTAGTGAAGACACGTAAAAATAGTGCTCAAGCTGTCGAGAGAGCATGGAAGAGCGGGGAATACAATCTCTGATATCCAGTAACACAAAGGCTAAGTATACTACAAAAAATTGCATACTATCAACATAAGCAAAACACCTCTTATGGATAAAAAAAAGAGCATTGGTATAAACACTTATACCTGGAATGGGCAACTTTCTGGTGGATTACATAGCCATAGCTTAATCTTCTTGTGTGAGCTGTAGATTTTGATTGATCCCTAGATTTGAGAAATCCTTGAGGAACGAATCAGCATTCTCAAAACACAACCCACGCATCCCAATCTCTACTGCACACTTGACGTTGCTTGGCCTGAGAATCAGACAGTACCTCAAGTCAAAAAAATGGTCTCTTTAGATGCATGAGTTAACTTAAAGAGATACAAACCTGTCGTCAATGAATAAACAGTCGCAAGATTCAACTCCGAGGTGTTCCACAACCTTGAGATAGAACTCTGGATCAGGCTTTCTCTTTCCTGAATTAATAAAAAGAAAACAAATAATAACATGATTGTATTAAACAATAAAACGGCAAGAGATGTGTGTTGTACCTGTATTACAGGAACAAAAAAGTACACAACAAGTAGGCTGAAAGCTTCAACTTCTCTTCGATCATTTTATACCTTAAGAAAAAACACGAAGAGTCAGTGAACAGAGCCCATTTCTAATAAAGAAAGAGAGGTTGAAATATGTGAAACCATAGGGATAATTGGTGAAAGCATGAATCTCGAAGTTGTGAGCTCTCAAAGTTTGAAGAAGCTCTTGCATTCCATCTTAGTATGCGTATCCTGATCTAATACAATCCTTTAACCCTGCAAAAAACAAAAGGATAAAGAGTATATACATTTGAATCAAAAGAAGAAGAATGAATCTAACCTTCCAAATCAAAGTCCCTCTCATCAATGAAGAGCTTTCTAGCTAGCTCATCCTCATCAATCAATCCCTTTTCAAACTCGATCCAGGCGGTGGGATTCGTGGAAGGGCTTTATATAGGAGGAGAAACAAAGAGAGGTGAAAGGAAACCATAAGTAAATGAGTAAAGAGCATATTGATAGATTCAGAGTGATCTATCAACACAATGAAAGTTCAGTTTGATTAACAAATATTTTAAAACTAAACATAACTCCAAATCGATTATGAAAAATCTCAATCAAAAACTTCCAGGAATTTGAAATGAATACCTGATCTCGAGGGCACGGCTGAAGCAATCAACAGCTTCTGAAAAATCCATCTCTTTCTGAAACACAGAGCCTCTCATTGAGCTCCTCAGCGAATTCAATCGTCTTCTCACGCTCATCTTCAGAGACGACATCAACTACAGCATTCTACGCCGCGTTGTTTTTGTTACCGTCGTTGTTACAGGTCGATTCAGTGCCGCTCTGGACAGCCGATTCGACGGTGGCATAGTGATGGAGTGATGGTGGGTTGTCGATGAAACGATTTCGGTTGAAAAAATCGAGTTGCCGATGATGAACAAAGAAGAATCGAAGGAAACGATTCCGATAGTGACGGAAAATTAGGGTTGCTCTCGTCACACAGAGGTTGGGCTAAATGGGCCGAAAGAAAAACAAATGCAAAATTAAAGCCCACTCGACTATGAATATTTATGCTGAGGTGGCACTCTCTCCATTGAGAGTATTCCCTTTTTAATATAGTACTGATTGAGTATATACATATTAACCTGCAAAATATTTTTTTCTGTTTTTTTTTTTAATTTTGTTTTTTTGTTAGAAAATAGTATTTTTTTGGAAAAATAATTATTTTTCTTTTAAAATACGGTATTTTAAAAAAATAACAATTAAATTTTTTAAAAATATATAATTTTATTACTTTTTCATTAAAAATAAATTAAATAATTATTTTTAAAATATATATATATATATAACCCGCGGGTTACCCGCAGGTTACCCGCAAAGTTAAATGGGGCGTGTGCGAGTGTAAATTTATACATATGCGGGTTGTGTGGGTTGGATTTTTTGACAAAAAAATAACTAAAACCCGCGGGTTGACAGGTCAGCGGGGCGGGTTTGACCCGCAACCCAGCCCTACACCAGACTTAGAGGGGCTATTGTTGGAGCTGGGTTTCTACTAAGACTCGATCCGAGAATTCAACCTAAATACGACAGAGCTTCGGTCAAGTGTCATTAAAGCCCAACAAAAAAACAAAAAATACACGAAGGACGGCCCAGGCTGAATAAGTCTCGTGCACCAAGCTCGGTTAGTCAAAGCAAACGTAAAGAGATCTACGACATTTAAGACTACCATAAAGCACTCAATCTACATCGGAGATCATGTCACAATAAGATTCACGATACCTATAAATGGAGGAGGACATATCAAGAAGAGAACCAATCTTTTCCATAGCTAAACTATATTCTCAATATATACATGGTCTCGTTCTTTGAACCCACATTGTATGCATCGATAAAACACACTTTCCATTGATAACTGTAGCCTAAGTGTTCTTCTTTTTGATCATTTCGCAGACATGTCTTCATAATTTAAACACTATGTTTGAGTGGATTGTATGATCCAATTATAAACTCAAAATCCAATCTATTGATCCTGCTCTAAATTGGTGTTACTCACTCCCATATCTGTTACAACTTTTCGCAGATCAAAACTTAGCTGAACAGAGAAGAAGATACCGCAATATAGATCCGCTTTTACAACAGTATTTCACACGTCTTGACCGTCTCCTTCTCTTAGTATCGTCGAGCACACTTAAGATCAAATTGATAAAGGGACAAATCTCTTCAAATATGGTGTTTCTTAGGAGATTGAATGTGTGGTTTTTTATTGGTAGAACTGGGAAAAAGTATCTTGGATTGGATGCAAAGAAGTTGCTCTCCATAGCTTCATCGTGACTCAGCGCAAAATTGAGGTCATGTCACTTGTGAAAAGTTGTGTCTTTGGCTCCATATATTTCCATTCTAAGATCTCTCAGGTATTTCCACTGATTCTAATAGCCATGTTCTTTACAAAGACACTGCCGCAGCGTTTAGCGATCAAAAATATCGCTTCTTCTTGTTTAAGTATGTGGAAACTACCATCAACATGAAGATGTAAGATGTCCGCCCTGAAGTAGTCGCTGACGTAATTGCTGAGGCAGACGTCGTGTTGAGTGGTGAAGACCATGTGGAGTCAAGATGCTGAGCTGGAGTCGTGTAGACTTGGAGAGCAAGGGTGTATCTTGGAGAAAAGGAAAGAGGAATAAACTTGAGGAGCAAGTTTATGACTTAAAGAAAGAGGAATAAGTGCATTTCAAGAAATGGAAAGTTGCACTTAATGTTATGGAAGATGTCCATATTGTGTTCCTTGGAGACTAGGGTTTCAGGAACGTGTAGAATTAGTATAAGACAGCAAGAGGGTCGTCTGTAGAGAGACACGGAGGCTAATCTTATAGAGAGAGAGAGAAGCTCTTAAGGTGTTCTTGGGTCGTGCTGAAGCAGAGGCTGAAGTACTTGACGGCAGAGAGACATAAGTAAGTAGCTTAGGAATCTTTCAGTGACGTGTGTTAGGGTGTTAACACTAGACGTGTAAAGCTGAATAAACAAGGTCTTGTAAAGATTGTTTAAAGAAGATTTGAATAAAGCTATTGGTGTTTTGTCTCTTGGTTTACCTTCTGTACTATCTTATTGTGGTGTCATCTTTGCACTTACAAGTGGTATCAGAGCAGGGCACCTAAGTTATTGGTGTAATCCTGAAGGTGAAGATGGACACGATTATTTCGGTGCAGAAGGCAATCGTGTTGAACGCGGACCAGTATGGTCATTGGAAGGCTCGCATGAAGCAAATGATTCGAGGAATCAATGAAGATGCGTGGACAGCTGTGGAGAGTGGTTGGGAGGAGCCTACCATAGTCACAGGAGATGAGAAGAAGCCCAAGCCAAAAGAAGATTGGTCAGAGGCAGAGCGCAATGCATCAAAATATAATGCAAAGGCGTTGTCAGGGGAGTACTTCAGCTAAAGAGGTGTGGGAGATCCTGCTGAATTCGTTTGAGGGTGATGAGAGTGTCAAGAGGACACGCCTAGATCATCTTGGGTCGCAATTTGAGAATCTCAGATGGTCTGATATGGATTCTGTGGCAAGCTTTAGTGCCAAACTTAGTGTTATGGCGCATGAAGCATTTGTACTTGGGAAGAAGTACAAGGAGAAGAAGCTGGTAAAGAAGTTACTACGCTGTCTTCCAAAGAAGTTTGAAGCTCACAAGGCGGTCTTGCAGATGACTACAAACACGGATGAGCTCAAGTTTGATAAACTTGTGGGTATGCTGAAGGACAAGAGATGGAGACAGACAGTAGTTCAGTCTCTACGTCAAGCAGTGCGCCAGGGAGTATAGCGCTTGCAGCTGACAAAGATGGTGATAGATTCCAGAAGCTTGAAGATACTGTGGGTATGTTGGCTAGGAATTTTGGTAAGAAGATTCATTCTGGTGGCAGAAATCAGTATGATCGTCAAGGAGGTGATCGTGGCAATNAGTATAGCGCTTGCAGCTGACAAAGATGGTGATAGATTCCAGAAGCTTGAAGATACTGTGGGTATGTTGGCTAGGAATTTTGGTAAGAAGATTCATTCTGGTGGCAGAAATCAGTATGATCGTCAAGGAGGTGATCGTGGCAATGGTAGAAGAAGAGACTTTATCAAGTGCTACGAGTGTGAAGGAGTTGGTCATGTGAGGGCTGACTGTCCTATGGCACAACGAAAGGAACTTAAGTGTTCTGAGTGCAGAGGTGTTGGACACACAAGGCACGAATGTCCAAACTCAAAGAAGGGAAAAGGAGCTCAGTCGTCTGATGATTCAGAGTCTGAAGAAGACGACAAGGTGTTGAAGAACATCGTTGCATTTGATGCACGCAAGGAGGGATCTAGTGAATCCTCAAATTCAGATCGCAATACAGATGATGAGGAGTATCACGTGCTGTTCAACAAGTGGTTGAGGGTCAGGGACCAGAATCTGAGATTGGAGAGTGTGGCTCAGAAGAAAACCAAGTTGCTTGAAGAAGTGCTTGAAGAACTTGCGTCTGTAAAAGAGAAGAATGAGTCTCTTGAGCAAGAGAATTGGAAGCTTAGAGGAGCTAAGAGTACTGGCGTACAACAGAAGGGGCGGTCACAGTTCGTGCAAGGGAGCACTTCAAAAAGTGAAGCCAAAGATGTTCGTCAGGAAGTACGTTGGGACGTACTACAAGGAGTACGGCAGGAAGTTCTACAGCGCGTGGCTGTTAATAACAAGCCGAAAGGAGTACATCAGTGCAGCAACATGAAGGCCAGACAGGAGGTTCTGAAGCATGGTTGTGCATCTGGTACAAGGAAGGAGGCTGATCGGTGCATCAGCAACTGTGTCAGGCCCAAGAAGAAGCAACATCGGATGTGCTGCTGGTTCTGTGGGAAGGTTGGACACAATAAGGTGGAGTGTTTTGCTCGTGAGAAGAGCAGAAACATGGCCAAGAAGGTGAACAAGACGTTCACTAAGCACAAGGGGGTTGAAGAGGTGTTCTTAGCCAAGAGCGGCTTACTTGATGAGGTCAAGGAACGGACACCAGAAGAAGGATGCAGCTCTAGTGAGAGTGATCTTGAGGTTGATCAAGAAGCATCAAGTGTGGAGCCAGGACACAGAGTTGTTTGTGGTTCAAAAGGGAAAAAGATCGAAGTGCGTCAGGAAGTGATGCGAGATGATCTTCAGGAAGGTGATAGCGAAATCACTCCAAGACAATAGCAACGAGTGCAGAGAGAACTTGGGGTGGATGAGGAGGGGCTCATGGTCAAGGAGACGACGCATGAAGGAAGCCAAGTCCTCAACAGAAGTGGGTCGAAAGGTAGTTCGACAGGTGCGTCAGATCGTGATGCAGTACTTGTAATCTACTCCGCTGCAGCAGGGGCTGTATCATGATTACTGTGATGGAAGGCTTGACATCTAAGCATCTGTGTTTTAGCTTAGTATGCAATCAAGAAGGGGGAGAAGTGGTGACGTTCTGGTCCAAGGAGTGCACATCTCATGGGGGAGAAGAGCATGGTGATGGACGTCCTGAAGTAGATGGTGCTTATCTCATGGGGGAGAAAAGCATGGTGTGGTGCACATCTCGTGCGGGAGAAAAGCACATTTGGTATAGAAAGTTCCAAGTGAGGAACGTGGTTGTTGAACCAGAAGGATGTTGTGCTTGATTGGCACACAAAGCTGAAAGGGGGAGATTGAAGATGTAAGATGTCCGCCCTGAAGTAGTCGCTGACGTAGTTGCTGAGGCAGACGTCGTGTTGAGTGGTGAAGACCATGTGGAGTCAAGATGCTGAGCTGGAGT